AGTGATATGCATAAAATAAAAATCAGACCTCATCACTCCTCTTCAATTTAAGCAGAATATTATACAATGCCTGAAAGAAGGTGTTAAGTCAATTATTTTTTTTTTTTATCGTGGTAAGAACACTTAAAATGATACTCTTAATAAATTTTTAAGTGTACAGTGTTGTTAACTAAAGGGACAACGTTACACACCAGATCTCTAGAACTCACTCATCTTGTGTAACTGAAACTGTGTCCCTGGTGAACAGCAGCTCCCCATTTCATTCTCTCCTCAGCCCCTGCTACTGGCATTCTCCCTGCAAGTGAAGTGCTACCTGAGACACAGAGACCAAATGACAGAAAAACTGGACTAAGGGTTGGAGTAACTGGGGCTGTGGCAGGACAGGAGGAGAGGAGAGAATGAGAGGCGCAGGCAATCAGGGAGGGAGGGCAGAAGTAAAGAGAGAGAATCCAAGTGACACAAAAGTCCTGAGTCTCTAAACTTAATCACACATAAAGCTAGGCCTCTAACATCTATGCTCACAATAAAGTGATAAATCCCTCTCTCCACTGCAGTGTGCTTGAGTTGGGACATTGGCAACCAAGACTCCTGACTTCAGGTGCTATTATTTCTCCCGGTTATTGCTATTATCGCCATCTCCTTCAGAAAGCCTTCCCTGATACTCTCAGGTACTCCCTCTCCTGTGTTTTTACTGTACATTTGTACACTGCCCCCCCTTAAATTGTAAAGTCTTTGCTGTGGTCTGAATGTCTGTGTCCCCTTCGCCCTCCAAATTCTTATGTTGGAATCCTAACCCCAAAAGTGATGGGCATTGGGAGGCGGGGCCTCTGGGAGGTGATGAGGTCACGAGAGCAAAACCTTCAGGAATAGGATTCACGCCCTTTTTTAAAAGAGGCTTCATAGAACTCCCCTGCTCCTTCCGCCATGGAACAGTACAAACAGAAGTCTGTGACTCAGAAGAGGGTCCCTAACCTGACCATGCTGGCACTGTGAACTCAGACTTCCAGCCTTCAGAACTGTGAGATACAGGTTTCTGTTGTTTATAAGCCGCCCAGTGTGTGGTATTTTGTTACGGCTGCCCAAATGGACTAAAACAGTCTTGAAGGCTTGGTCCTATCCTTTTTACATGTTGTATTCATAGTTACCATCACAGTGCTTATAACATAATTAAACATATTGTATTTGTAATAAATACGTATGCATAAATAAAATGATCTGTTTATGAACAAATATTAAATAACTGAATGAATAATAAAAATAATAAAAATGTTTGTAGAGTGTTTATACCAAGATAGTTCTAAGCTATCAAATATATGAACTCATTTAATTGCCTCAAACACCTAATGTTGGTTCAACTATTACACCCATTTTATAGATAAATAAAATGAGTAAAAGAAAGATCCTGTGCCCATGGTCACAAGCTCTAATTTGTGTGATTAAGCAGAAGCACTGATTTCCAAGTTTATGACTTTAGTTATTTTAATATTAGAATAAAAACAACATATTCTGTAAAAATTACTTTCTACAATTACTACCCATGTGACAGTTACTTGATAAAGTGAGTCTGGTTATTGTTCTTTTTACAAAAGACAAGCAAGAACAAAGGAAACTTTCAGTTCCTAATATTTTTATAAAACATTCATTGTTACTCAGCAATAGCTCACCACATTAAAAACATTAAGTTCCAAATCGTGTAAGGAAAAAAAAGGTCTAAAAATTTAGAGAATGGGAAAGCTAAGCTCAAGAACCACATTCTTTTCACGAATGAATCATTCAGTTATTCACTTATATATTCAAATACTTAATGAACTCTATATGGCAAGCACTATTTTAGGACCACTAGCCTCAATTTTTTTCTTTACTCTAAAGAATCTAAAAATAATGATTTTAATGTATTTTATACCAACTCCACTTCCAGATGTATTGCCAAGTTTTTAGAAAGGAAAAAAAAAACATTTATACATTTTCATAATGCAATGTTTTACAAATGTAAAAGATTACCTATTTTAGTGATTATTTTTATATTACATATCCTGAACAGCAAATGGCTAATGATTGTTTAAAAATATAGTACTGTACATTTGTGTGTAGCATTTAGAGTTCGAGTGCCATCTTGTGGTTAAAATATATTTCTCTATTTTAACTCATCACAGGTTAAAAAAAGTTAATAGATGGATTGCTGATTATTTACCATAAAGTTATAATTACATATTCCACTTGTTTTAAACCAATTTTTAACTTCTATATGCTCACATTTTCTTACTAGCCTAATGAAAAGCTTTTAAGAATCTAGACAAATAGGATAAATATAATATACAAAAAGAGATTTCTAAGCTCAAATAAGACTAGAAAACACTGATTACTCTGTCCTTCCTGAAGAGTAACTATGCACATTTCTTTATTAACAGCTCCAAGAAGTTCTCTCATAAAGAAATTTGAAATTTTTTATAACTTTATGTTTTCCCTATAATACCAATGAGCAACTTGTGGAATAGACTTCGAGAAACTATTGGATTATTCATCAAGTTCAATTATGTTCCCTTTCACTACACTTTTTATTCTACTCAGTATACCGGGTAAGGCACATTTTAGCAAGTTAATTGCTTCATTATGCCTTGTGCTTACATTTTGTAGCATTTTAAAGTTTACGATGCATACTTCGATTTAGTCTCAAAACAATTTTGTGGGACAGACAGGAAGAGGCTCGTTTTAACTGCCTCCTCATGAGAACAGTGAGGCTTACCCTATTTGCTGAGGCCACATATACCTAATATACAATGGCTTTTTTTCAGTTTCCTGGACACTATTCTAGTATTCCTTGCTCTGCTCATATCCTCTCCTCTTTGGAAAGTTAATGAGAGAAAATAAATAGTGGCTCCCTAAGACATGTCCTAAATAAAGTTCTGCGATATCTAATATGAAAAGTATGTAATATTTACCTGTACGGCATTTAATGATCATATAAAGGAAAAAGATTTTTACGAAGGTTAGCATCAACTATTTTTTTCTATAGAACAGATAAGAAAGAAAACTGGAAGAACCGAACCCTTAACTTTCCATGCCCTACGTTTCTGTGTGGTGGCCCAGGGGACCTCAGAGGGCTTGGTTTCTGCGTCACAACATCTTTGCTTCACTGTGCCTAGCTCAGTTGCAGTGTGGAGAAACTACTGTAATCCCAGATCACACCAGGGATTTACCCTCGGGAAACTGAGTTTTAGCGGATTTTCCGAAAGAATAGAGAACTGAACGGAGATCCTTCTTTCTTAAGGAAAGTCTGCAGGCTTAAACAGCAACAAAACTCTCTCCCTTCAAGTATACAAGTGTCAAAAAAATATTCTGGAGAATGGTGGCATGGAAATGGCTGTTTTAAAGACCAGTCCCAATGCTGCTAATCTCTGGAGTGAGACATGAATTAGAAAAGATTCCATTGCGGTTTCATCCCTAAAAACAAAATGGAAGCTAAGAGGCCAACGAGGCTGGACCTGGGAGCTTTGGGAGCCACAGCTGTTGAAGACTGAAGATACTTCGGCCTTCTATCAGGCACCGGCGTTGATGCAAGACTGGACATAACCTCTGGACCTCAGAATTATGGTTTTTTTCCTATGGTTCTATTCTTTTGATTTATTCCTGTAAAACCAAAAAGTTAAGTCTGACCGTTTTCTTAAACATTTACTAGCTATCATATTAAGGTATTTTGTGACTGGTTACCTTAAAATAAATTTTCAAGAAATGCAGTTAGAGTGATTTGACAAATTACCTGAAGATGTGCTTTTGATTGGAAGACTTCTGGGTTTAGGTTTCATTTTAACTTTTCCTTTTTCAATTTCCTGGTCTTCATTCTGAGATTCGGATAAAGGATTTATAATCATGTCTTCACAACCATCAGGTGCCATTTCTTCGTCGTTTTTGATGGAGGATACTGGCTCATCTTTCATCACACCACTATTTGATTTCTTGGTTTTCAAAAAAGACAGTTTTGGAGAATCCTTTTCTTCATCATCTGATATATGGAAATCATTAATTGTTTTCTTAACTGAATTTTCATCTACCGAGGTGTCAGAAAAATCACCTAAGGAAACTGAAAAATGAAAGAAAATGTCTTCAATAGTATATTTTAAAGTATTGAAGGTTACATTAACCAAAAGATTATCTTAGAGATTAAAAATAAATTTACAACCATGACAACTTAGAGTTTTTATTGACATTTATGAAGTAGAAATTTCAATTTTATTAATTTATTTAAAACACACTTATCAAGTGTGACTAGTGTGTCAAGCACTATGCTTGCTCTGAGAAAAGTTAACCAAAGAGTCCTCAAACTAACAATCAATCATGGGACACTTAGATTTTAGACTGTAAAACTTTATTTGCAAACAATTTCGTTAGATTTTACTATGAGAAGAACGGTAAAGAATGCTAACTTAACTAGATAGCAATGATTAAACTACTGCTCTGATTATTTTTACAGAAAACATTAAGAGTCATTCACTGGATACTGAAGTATAAAACACTAGATATTGAAGTATAAAACACTGAATTTCAAGTTTAGAATTCTGTATGTTTATATCTAAATTATTTTTACAGAACCAAAAGAAACCAAATTAAATCATACTAGTAATGATATATTGGGTTTTTAAAACTGAGTCCCTATTACATACAAAAAAAAATCTGATTTATAAAAAGCATTATAAAAGTGATTCTGATGTGCACCAAAGTTAAGTTCCATGGACTCTAGTTATTAACTCACTGCAGGGTCTCATAGGGTTGACTTTAAAGAGAACTTGTCATCTCCAATGTCATTTACTACTGAAAGGCATCCCTTTATTGCAAATTGTCAGTTAATTAATATTTTCTTACACACCTTCAGAAACAACCAAGGGCAATCATATAACTTCTTGAAAATTGAAAGTGGCTTTTTACTCATCTAAAACCAGTGAATTCATAGACATTATTTTAACATAAGGGATTTTTTTTTAAAGGAATGGATTAAATAAAAGGAAGCAAAAAGAAGAAAAATGGTTTACTTTTCTCACATACCAATCTCATCACTGTCAAAGTCATCAGAGTATTCAGAACTCCTTTGTCTGGCTGAGCGAGCTGTGATTGCTTTTATTAGCTCATCCTGTAATAAAATAATTAAAATCAATTTCCACCCAAAGAATGGAGGTCTCATATTTAAAATTAATTCTTTAAACAAATAATGCTGAGTTAATAACTGCTCTCAAACTTAGGTTTCATTCACCTACAATAATCACTGAAAGCCAACTGATGCCTCAGTTTCCTGAGGCAACCAAGCTCTCAGACTCCATGCAGCACATCACAGCAAAGATTCTTCTTATGGAGCTTCCAGTTAAATGGGAGGAGACGGACCATATCAAATAACATAATTGCAGAGATTGAAATTAGACAGGATTCATTATAAACTGGCATTTCAGAAGAAACTGGTACTTTAAAAGATTTTTTGTTTCAGCAGATTACAGTAATGAATATAATCAATACTACAAATTTAGAGTTCAAAATAGTAGTGACTGGACAGAAAAAACTTAAAGGTTGTTATATTATAATAGGAAAAAATCCATAAAGCATGTATATGAAAATACCAATTCAAAGTTGCAGTTCAACTTTTAAAAGTTGATTTACTTTTAAGTTAGTAAGAACTTAGCTTTGAGGCTAGTTTGGTAGTTTTAAAGACACACAGAAGAGTTTGGAAAACTATAGCCAAAACATGACCATCTGCAAAATTTCAAAAAGAATGTAAGACTTATTCTAGCTTTACATAGGACTCTTCTAAAATCAGTTCAAATCCAATGTTCCTAAGATGGCGTTTACTTGTAAAATCATTCAAAATAAAAATGCTTTGAAATACTTTACCTGGAAAGTAGTTCTTTTGGTGACTTTTGGACTTTTTGTATATGCCAAAGTTGTGCTAAAAACTTCATCAGACATAATATTTGGGGCTTTTTTTTTACTCTTTACCTTTCTAAAAGGGCTAATAAATGATAGGAATAATTCAACATCTGATGGTGGCTGAAATATACAAAAAACAAATCAGATTTTTTTGCATATTTAAGAATTTCTATTACTACACTTAGTGTCCCCGCCCCAAAGTCAAACAAAAACAAGAAAAGCGTTATGTGAACACTGAGCAACATCATCACTTAAAAATGTAAACGGAGTTTTGGTAAAGAAAAACCAAATTCTCATAACAAGGTTGTTTTCAATGAAATTCAAAATTAAATTATCTTACAATAGTTTTGGAATGACATGAAGGATGAGCAACTGAATAACTGCGATAGATTAATGTGATAAAATGTCTCCAATTAAAATAGAAACTTTATTTTCTCCCTTCTCTTCCATTCAAAAATTATAACATTGCCTACAAAACAGATGCTTATTTAAAAGTCTACCAAGAGATATAATACCATAAAAGATATTAACTATGAGCACCACAAAAAAAAAAAAAAAAAAAAAAAGCAAAAAGAAAGAAAATGCTTGCCGCAGCCCTATGGAAAGAAAAAGGTCATAATGATAAAACTGCAAATAGCGATTTTTTTTCAAGCCATTTTTCCCTCTTACAAAAATGTTAATAGGCTTAGATAAAACAAAACGCAGCTTCCACAATGCGCCGCGTTAAAGTCGTCGTATAAATGGGTCCCTGAAGGTTTCTCGTGCTCGCAGCGAAGGCCCGGGCCTCAGAAGCCCGGCCTCTCGCCGCAGCGCGCGCCGGTGACCGCTCCGGACGCGGCCAGGTGGCGCCCGCGTCCCCGCCCGCTCCGCACCGCCAGCCGAGCACCCTGCACTCGCCAGGCCCGTGCACACTAGGGTGCTGTCTCCACCCGGTTTTTCTGCGACCCCTCAAATCCCGAGCTCTGTACCCACCCCTGTCACTTTTCCGGACGGGTAAACACGACCCCGAGACGGAGCGGCTGGCCTCGGGAGGGAGTCTCTCTCCTGGGATTAGGCCCGGTGACTCTCGGAGAAAAGGCACCAGACAGAGCAAATGGGCGGGACTAAAAACGGAGGTGGGAGGCGGTTGCTAGGAAACAGCGTCTCTGAGAGGAAGTGACTTCCATACAGTCAAGTCTCTCCGGTACCCAACACCACCCAATGGCCCGACGCGTCACTGGGGCAACCACGGCGACGAAGGAAATGACATCAGCCCTCTGGGTCATGGGAGAGGGGTGCAATCTCTCGCCTGTTCTTCATTTGTTGCCCAGGAGACAAGACTGGTCCAGCTCCCACTCTCCGGCACCGAAAGCCTTGCGCTTGCGCGGGGAATGAGAGCCTGCATCCATAGCTGCTGCATGAACCAAAGCACATTCATCATTTTTCCACGGATAGGACATGAAGTACGTGAATCGAAGTAGTGAAATGACAATAGTGTACAGACAAATGGGACAGAATAGCATGATAGTGACGCTTGCAGACTCAGGGGTCAAACTGCACGTTTGAATTCTGGCGCCCCTTCATGTTTGATGCCCTGCAAGTTAATATCTTGATGCCTCAGTTTCCTCTTTTGAAAAAAAGAGGAAATAATAGGCACCTTAACACGGTGCTGTGCATATGAAATGAAATAATGCAGGTGGAATACTTGCAAGAGTGTATGGGATTGTGTTCAGGCAATATCAAATATGCTTTTTAAGCAACTGAGCCACAAAAAACCTGTCGACACAGGAGTCATCCCTGTCGACACAGCCGAACACCCATTCCAAGTGTTACTTGAATGTAAAATTTTCCCCTTTGTATACTCGGTGGATAATCTGGTTAAAATCAAACCAGTCAACAAAATGACCTAATAAGACGGAGGACTGTGTGCTGCTAAGTTAACCAAAATCATCATCACTTAATTAGCATAGATAATCTTTCAACGAAGGATAAAAACACTTCTTTAAATAATACTTTAAAATAGCATGGATTTCTACTATTATAATTTAAAAGAAACTTAATCCTAGGTAATTTGAATCAATTTACTGCCTAGTAATTAAATCATTCCAGGTATTTTTCCCCTTATCTCTAAAATTTATTAATTTTCATTTATTTGGGAATTATTTATAAATGAATAAAATTGAGTTAAATATTTAATAAAGTAATGTATTGAAAAACTAAATGTGCATAACAAGAAATATAAAATTTAGTAAAAAATCTACACTTTTAGCAAATATGTGCAATGCAATTTTTTGAAAATTAATTATTTTATGGCGACATTGGTTAACGATATTCAATAAGTTTCAGCTGTACACTTCCTCTCTACCCTCTGATTGCAATGCAGCTTTTTAAAGATCATGTTCAGGTTATGCTACTTGTTTGAAAAACTGTTTGATCAATATTTGCTTACTTTTGATGTTTTTAAACATTTTTGAGCACCTGCATAAGAGAAAGATTTTCCATTCACCAATTACTGTTAACTTTCTGATCCATATAAATTACTGATCAGTAAATATGATTCCGTCATAGGATCTGAGCTTACAGCAAGAAACAGCCTCTGCATTTTCTTTATATGTGAAGTACTAATTTGCTTACGTTGAAGTATTTCAGAAACTTCTGCTGTTTATTTTTTAATCCATTTGGCTAATATAATTTTCATTTAGACAGAATTTAAGAAAATAAATAAAATTAAAATTAATGAAAAGAGCCTTTAAAAATTTTTCTTTTCTACAGAACTTATCAAACTTTTATTTCCAACTTCAATCAAAATAATAAATGATATCAACCTATGCCATACAAAGCCATAGTAAACAGACAGTTAACCTAAAATGGTTAATTTCTTCACAAGACCTAAAGCACAATGTCTTCCCACTATTCTCTTATCTTAAGCAGCAGAAAATTAATGTTTTATTAATATTTTCAGTTTGTTACACTATATGTTAATGATAACATATAATACCTGAATAGTATGATTTTATCTAATGCATAATTCACAGTAAATACATAAATGTTGAATGAACTCATAAATAAACAAATAACATTTTAAACTGAAAAATAATTTTTTTGAAATGTACCAAAAAGTCAGACATACACTTTAAAAAAATGAAAAGACTACAGCACATAAAATTTCTTATCTAATATTTTCTCTGTATTTTATTTTCATTTCTCTAATATATACTAGATCTCAGAAGGATTTGCCTAGCAGACAGTTTTAGAGTTTAACACATTTTTTTTTTTTCATTTCTGAATCTTGCCTTCCCTTATTCATTCATCAGTCAGTAAGTACACCCATATCAATAATTTTCTGGGTCAGATTTTGGGAATTCAAAGGTAAATCAGCCTAGGTCTCTTGCCTAGGGATCTTATAGACTAGAGCTACCTGGGATGGTGGGTAAACACATAATGATTATACCTTGTTATAATTTCTCCATAGGAGTACAAAGTGAGCAGCTCTCAAGAGAGAGCTAACAATTCTTCCTGGAGGCTCTAGAAAGTTTTTACAGAGAAAGTGAATTTGAGTTGATTAATGAATTGAGGATGTAAGGAAGGATCCAAAGTACATTCGAAGCAGAGGAAATGGTGTATGAACGTGGAACTCACTCCACTGTGGATTGAAGTGGTTGAGCACAGAGACAATGTTGGTGCTCAAACTGTACTACCTATCAGGCAAGGAGGGGAGTGAGGAGATCCATTTCCGGGCAAAGAAGCAACTGAGACGTGACTCTTCTTTGAAAATTCCCTGCCCTCATCTCAGCAGGCAAATTGTTTATGTCCTGAGATTGGCAACACAAGTTAGAGACAAAGGATCTCATACTTACGGCCAATCCTGGTTGAAACAACAAAGCACCTGCCTAGCATTTTGAGAAGTGTACTCCTCAGAGCAGATCCATTGATAAAGATCGTACTTTTATTAAACGTGTCAGAGGAGCACGAGAGAGCAGTTACCAATACTAGAGTCAACTTGAGGATGTGGACAGCAGGAACCTTATAGAAGGGAAATAGCAAAATCCTCAGGAAACACAACCATGACCAACTATACTGGTTAAAAGTGTTTATCAACATGTTATGAGTGAGGGAAAGCTGGTCATGTTTGTCAAATACACCAGTATGTTGTCTTCTTGATTGTTATGTAGAGATACATGAATTATTATACAGCTAGAGAAATATAATTCCTCATTCCTACTCAGAACTTGTCATTCGGAACAAATTATTTTTGTTATCAAAGTAATGTCCTTGGTTAAATGTCTCCTACAGATATTGTTCTAGACAAAGAAACATGACCCGGGCAGACAGTACCTCTACTACCTGCATCTTGCTAAATGACCTGTGCCTAGTATAATTCTGGGCGCTTTTCTCATATCACTTAATTCAGTCTTTCCAAAACTCTGTGAAATTGGTGCTTTTTATATCTATATTTCACAGGTAGAAAAAGGAGGTTTGGTAATATCTTGAGACACAATTAAGTTTGAAAAAAATATTTTCTCCTGTGAAATATCCCAGGCTAGACAATTTTGTTATATAAACTTTATTATGTTATTGTAGTTTTAAGAAATCTTCACTTTTAATAATGTTTCATATATGCAAAACCACATTGTTCTTATTTAAGAAGTTGATCTAATGTTTTCTTTCTTTCCCGATCTAGCGCATACTACATAAAGGACTTTCATGTGTCATTTCCATGTGAGCTCCCCCTTTCATTTACCTGTTTTGAATTGCTCCATGTCTTCCTGCTTTAAGCACCTTCCTTTAAGACAAATCTTGTTTCAGGATAGAAAAGAAAAATCACCTATTTATATGTTTTTACGTGAAAACTTTATGAGTTTTTATGGAATTAAGATAGAGCATTGAAGAAAGCCCAGATGTCACTTAGTGGGAAGTTTCCTTGGAAAAAATCATTCATTTCAGGATTTTCCAGGAAAGGCCAGGGTCCAATGATAGTTGATTAGAATAAAACAAAATTTTCAACACTATGTGCAAAAGCCAATTTTGATTTAACGTTGCACTCATGTAAGAATATGATTCTTCTTCTTTTTTTTCCTCCCTTGGGAAGTCTTTTCTAGGAGGGAAAGAAATCCCGTGGGATACATTAGTAACCAAGTCCCAGCAGATGGCAGCAAAGGATTTAACATTCTAGAATATAGCAAGAATGGAATCAATATTTTTTGAGATATTTTATTTTTCTTAGAGTGATTAAAAGGTATATTAAAATAAATTAATTTTTCTAACAATTTCATAAAAATTTAATAATCAGGTTTTTTTACATCAGAAAGTTAGAAATTTAGTAGTTTAATGTGACAAGAAAATTTTTTTTATATAAATATTTTAAAAGACTTCATATAAGCTGCTCACCAGCCAATCCAGTCCCTACTCTCTTAAACTCAACCGTGATCGTTAATAGTTAAGATTCTTTTTCATACTATTTTTTCTATGCACATAAAAATGTTCACATAACATATATCCTTCTATAACTTGGTCTTATCACTTGAATATCTTTTTACATTAATCAATAGCTGAATTGTGCATCACTCTATGATTACACAATTATGTATATTTTAAAACCATTATTGATGTCCTTTTAGCTTGTTTCTAACTTTTATGAGCAGCCTTGAATAAGTGTTATGGCATAATTATTTATTTTGGATAAAATGCTAGGGATGGAATCATTGAGCCAAAGTATATGTACACTAACTGTCTTTAAACTTATTGTCAAATGCCTTCCAGAAAAGTTTTTATGACATTCACTCTAATGTACATCATAAGAATAGTTTTCACCTAAATTTACTCATTAGTTATTCACTTTTGTTGTTGTACTCTTATAAGATGCAATTTTGTTTGATAAATATTGCTTATTTTATTCTGTGCAACTCTATTTATTGTCTTCTTTAAATATAATTTCATATATTTGTACAAAGTAAAAAATTAAATGTCAAATAAAAACATAAATATAAAATATTTTCTATAGTTTTTAAAAGGAAACGTTAAGGGTTAAAGTAAGGAGAAATTATTTAAATATAATGGGAAAAATATTCTTCTGTGGGTAAAAATAAACTTTTCAAATTTCCTTAATTATATAAATATTATTCCTAGCATTGGGAAGATGA